TTGGGTCAAACCTGACTTGGGTTAACCTGGGTTATGACCAACCCGGGTCACAACACTAACTACTGGCTACCTAGCCACATACCTTATTCTTGTTTGGGTGCAGTCACACCATGCCCATCTCGTGTGACACACACCGCTGTTAAAAGACGTTTGTCTTACTTAGCAGCATGCACGAGTGGTAATATATCTTGACATCCGCCCGTGTGAAAATATCAGTAATGAAAACCTATACAGCATACTTTGGCCTATCAAGTCTGTCAGTTCCGGTCAGTGCTAAAATCGAATTAAACTTTGTCCTTTTTGAGGCAAATTTGCGATCATCTATTATTCGCCTTCATAGACAGTGTGTAAGAAAGTCCACCTCAAAGTCGAAATCACGCTTTGTACTTCGCAAAACCGAAAATTAAGCTACAGTTAAGCCTAAGAATATCTGACTTTCAAAAAGCAATGTCATGGAGGCTCTGAAATCGCTCACAAAGTGTGTCACACAAACGCGATTTGATCTCAAATTGAGATAAAATTGCATAGCTGCTAGCCTATCTGAGAGGGTAACGGCTACCTCTTAGCGCGTTGAGCGGCTTTCGTCGGAGCACGTTGGTCAAATCCATAATTCGTGATAGGGTTGCTAGAGATCTCATTAATTGCTTTGACGTACCTTAAAAGCCAAGGCGAGGTCTTCGAGTGAGAAAATTTGTTCATAACGACAGCAACCTCATCGTCAGATCCGTAGCAGTATTTTTTGTCGCTCAAGTGACAAATAGATCAATGTAACAATTAAACTTAACATGTAATTGGTAAACAATTATAAAACCGGGCTAGGAGGTGTCGTGTTTATTCTCTGGAACTGTCACTCGAATTTTGTACATTACCTACACTATCCAATTCTGATGATATTTACTCTAAATCCGTGCGACTCTGGTATGATGTGTACATATACCACAAAAGGTTGCTTAGAATGTCAATCAATCTTGCTCCAACATCTCACTGAAAATTCAAGCTCTATCAACACCAACCATACCTGGAGACCCCTATAATTCCCCTACTTGAGCTGAGCGCATGACTCGAGTTGCAACCAAACAGCTGGAGGTACAGATGGATTTGAGCCCATCCTTTAGTCGTTCGCAATTCACGAAATAAATTCATTCTTTGTGCAATGCGCCGCGCCAATCTTGTCGCGACGGCGAGAACTGGATCAGCAAATTTCGGGCGAGGTTCGGAGGCTGATGATAGCTTCTGCTACTTCATGGATAGTATCCATTCTTGCCCCCCCCCGATGCCGCCTCATCGGGTTCTTTGTATGAGCCACAGCGCCTCTTCCAGCAATTGTCTTTGTACATATTAGTTATGAATCCGAGAACTTGCAGCTGCTCGATAGCATATGCCGAAAGCCTGATTAGAATCGTGCTGATCACGCGATTTGGGAGTGGACGTAACATCAGCGATTTCAGAAGTGCTTCAATTGTAATTCACAAGGTAAAAATGGCTTGATGCATCGTGCAGTTCAAATCAAAGTGTTGATCTGTCAAGTTAATCTGATGTATGATATTAAAATACAACACTTAACTTTAAAAAAATCACAACAAGGTTTTTAGTTACCTCATTATAGATTACTTACCCTGACGACTCGAAGATGCATTCGAGACAATTATCAACACCGACCGGTCCTGCAATTGATACATCTATTTTAGTCGTCTCGCTTGACGACCAGTAGTGTCGTACTTTCGTTGGAGATCGTATATCACTTACGCATCACCTTATGAACGGTGGCTGTCAATGCCGCGAAACGATGAAGAGAAGTACCACTTTCGGTCAGAACATACGCATGCTTTCCTTGTATCAGAGCAATATCCTGAGTAGAATTGGCCTTCCCGTTGGTCTTCATCTCAAAATTATGGGAAAAATTCTCATGAGAGCTGCGAATGAGTTTATTGTTTGGGCGCAAATTTTGAATTCGGTCACCAAGTGCAATTTTCACAATAGGCAAAGTAGCGTAATATTCGGTCTCAACAAATTAAAATGATCTTTCACCTCAAAAAACTTGGCTGTCCACATTTTGCAAATCTGGGCTAAACTATTACCCAGTGGAAAGCCAAAAGAGAGTCGATATTCAGCATAGTAAGTCAAATAACGACAATGGAGCGGAATCCCAGAGACGAAAAATTAAATGACATTCAATATGGGTAGTATGGATTCAATGTCCGTGTTATGGATGGGTAATCTACGCACCTTTTGTGTAAAATTTTGATCTTTGAGCTCGATTTTCGCTTTGATTCTTTTGAGGTGGATACACTCGTATGATTTCAAGATAAAGATTTCGAGAAAGTGGATGGGGCTAAACTATGGCAAGATTGGATGCATCTCTCGTACAAGTTAGCGTATACACCAACTTTCAGTTACCTTAGCTGATGTTGTAGTCATTTATGTAAGGTGTATTATGTAGTGCCATAGATAACATCAAATTCGTTCCTTCATATAATGGATGAGAGTACAAATGCCAGGCATTAACGCTGACTACCACGAAGGCACAAGATCGGCAAGAAGAGCACACAAAAGTGTAGTTTTGTGTGCATATATCCTAATTTATATTAGTGTTAAGAAATGATATGGGTTATCTGCAAGGATGCGGCCCAGCATATGGCTATCGGCCGCATTGTGTGAGATGCATCTCATGGCTGTGCAGTGCCACTGCGTGAAGCGCTTTATCAGTTTTGTGCTCTTTGTGCTCTGACGACGCCACTGAATAATGTTGAAAGACGATTTTGCAGCCATGTCTCTTTTACTAGACATTTGGTTTTACAGAAAACAAATTGGTGGCTTAGGTGTGGTTTACGATTGAGGCCAATGGCTATTTCTTAAAATGGTTCCTAGCCTAAGTTATTTTTTTACAGTATCCAGACATGATTGCAGGGTAATTTCACATAATTATGGCTATGGTAGGACGTAGGCATAGGAACATCATCAACTTTTATACTAAACAAATCAGCGCTTTAATCTTGGTATTTGTTTATCACTTTTTCCTGCTGTACGGAGCCACTTCGGTGGGTATGTTCTGCCTTTGTTCTGTACACTCAACGCCCTCATTTATTGTAGCTGGGTCTTCTTAACATTTTGCTTACTGACAATATTATAATACGCTCGATAAAACAGACTTGAACTTTCTGTTATCCAGTCAATTCCCATCTGATCTGAACCTTAGGTCTTCAATACATCCCGTATCCTGCATCATCAGACCTTCTGTTGAGAAAAACCAAGTATCTCACTATCATCATCACGTCTTGGTGAACGTCATAAATCTTCTAGATTCCTTAATCAGTAATGCTTGGCTCCACTCCTCTTACTAAAATTTATGTCGTAAACATTCCAAATTGTGTTTTCTGCTTGCATGACTTAGAGATTGTATGACGCTCAGACTCTTAAACGCATTGTTGAGAATTTGGCCTTGTCTGATCTTTCCTGATCTAGTATTGTCAACGTTTAGATGTATTTCGTCAGTATTGAAATTTCGTCGCACCCAGCAACACCGTCGTCTTGACAGCATTCATGCGTTTTTGTTGTGAACTTGTCATTCTACTGATCACATGCGTGGCTACTCTTCCCAAAGCGAGCTTTGCGGAGTTGAATCGTCCTTATTCTAGATGTTTGGGTACCGCGAACTCGCATAGGTTGCGAAGTGAATTGTTTACAAATCAAGTTGCTAACAGCGTCAAGAAGCCGTCTTTAATGCGAAAGTTCTTCGACTATATTACTGGGGGGTTATTATCGTCTACAACAAGCAACCCGAGCTTTCTTAAACGGCGCCAATCGCGTCCAAAAGGATCGGTCCCATCCTTTATATCCTTCAACCACGAGATACACTCTTCGTCTAAGCCGAAGCTAAAAAGCTCGAAGAAGATTAAGCCTGATGCGAAGCAAGTTCAACTCGAATTGATGTTGACTTTACAGAATCAAAACGCGGTAACTTTCCACAATACTGGCCTCCCAATCTCTTATCTTGTTTCGCCAAGCAGGTTAGTTAATTTCGAGCTCAAAAAAAATTAAAAAATGAGCTGGTTACCTAGCGCAAGCCGCAAAATTCATCTTGAGTAGCACGTGCTGTCCAAGTACGTCAATAGAAGTTTGCAGCTTCTTAATTGTTGCAGAGTCTATAGCTTACCGTTTCAATATGTTTAGCGATACTCGAATGCAGACAATGAAATAACAACGAAATATATGCTTACATTGATAATACTTAATTTTTTGTGTTTCCAGTAGCAAAACTGCTTATCAATTGTACGCTAACGAGCTACATATAAAAAACTAATAACTAGTGACTTATCAGCAAACTAATGTGTAAACTTGAACAAAAGATTAGTGTACATGCACGAGATGCTTCTGTGCAACATTTGTATGAAATTTACATTTCATTTTTAATCAAGATGAAAAATAAAATGTACCACAATATATGTACTAATGAAGGAGGTACGTGGCAAAACGTATGTATAGTCAGTCCGCTAGGAGTTATTGTCACTTTAAAAATGCAAACAGATTAAGTACTTAATTACAGTAAAGGCTCTCGCTTACTCTCCTGGGTAGAGAATGCGTGTTTAACCTCTGTGCGTTGTACGCGTCGACGCTTTGAGCTGATGCTATCTCTGTGCAAGCTGCACGACAACGTTCTGCAACGACAGAATTTACTATGATCACACACTCTTGATGCTTTTTCAAAGTTATATTCACGTCAAACAGGACAATAAAACGGAAATATAAACTTTGTGATACATCAACACTCAGAGACCAGCGTGCGTGCTGCATTTGCCACCATGCGTCGAATAAATAACTAACTGAAGAATTTTAGGGGTGACGTCCTTATCTGAAATGCGTAGTCAGTACGCTTCTAGCTGCACCGATTCAAGCTGCCGACCCCTACTGTGACTTCTTTAATTTGCCTAATTGCCGATTAAACAACACTCTTTGCCAAACAGATCGACCTATTCTGCGTATACCCTATTCAAGTATATCGTATATTCTTCTCTCAGAGACGACACATCATCCAGGATTAAAGAACTCTAGTCCGACCTGGTCGAGCTTTTAGACAAGCCCTGAAGATGGGAGTCATAAGAACTTTGTGAAGCAGAGACCAAGAAAAGCTTTGTTAGATCACTATGCCAGTAGCCTCAGAAATAATAACGATCATATGAAGGCTACTATGTCCTCAACACAGATTTCTGCGTATGAGCTAGCCACCAGATTGTATGGAGCAATGACATGCAAGATAACGGCATCTATCACTGATCTGACTACAGATAATGCCCGCAAAGCTGCTGATGCTGATGTCTCAGGGTAGATGCTTGATCATGATGAAGCAAAGCGTGCCCGGGTCGGCTTTATACTAACGCAGTTGACGTCTCGCATGCGCTTTTTGTTAATGTCGTTTAGCAAATCAGCCATGAAAAAAACCGTGCCGCTCACGTTCATAAGGAATGTGTATAAGATTTAAACTCAGGCTCCTTCAGTGCCACCGCAATTCATTTAAAGCATGGAATGAGTTGCAAGGAAGGACGAGAATCGAGTTACTTGACATCACAGCAAATAACACTTGCACCTATTGAACAGCAATTCCATGATCTGTTTCTTTCCTGCTGCAACGATTTAATTTTACAACCTGCACATGATTTTTTTACTCATGGGGCTTGTGTGAGTATACGTAGGGAGTTCGGGTTGAATTATCTGTTAGCGACAGTCTTGGCGGCTCCTCACGTCACGCGCTTAAGTAAGTAGAGAGAAGGGGTTTCTGGTGTGGTTGATGTGGATCACAAAGGCTTTTCCGTGAGCTTTGAGAGCTTGGATTATAATCTTGAGATGATAAGTACACTTGTGGTGCTCGTGGATGTTATTTGTGTCCATCACATCAAAAGCAGTAGCTCATGAGGGCTAGGGTTACCGCCATGGTAAATCCAGTGAAAAAGTAAATGAAGTACAGTGATTACATTATGCGTGCGGGATGTAAGCGATAGTTACTCCAAACAAGAAATTTTCTGTAGGATAAGGCTGCTAGCAATGTAACGCACTAGTTTTTTTATCACTTACACAATTCTAATGAATCAATTGAGCGGTGAGTCTTTCCGCTATGGTGCCGACGACAATGACGACATTAGGGTTATTTTCAATAAATTTGTCAGCTCAGATATCGTACCTCTTGTAACTTACATGAGTCTCAGCGAATTTCAATAAGGTCTTTAGCGACTATATCACGTCGTGACTATGGCTTCGACCGCCATGATCTGAGAAAATTCGCTCGATGCACCATAGGGCAGCCTCTAGTCACTTTTGAGTGTGAGAAAGAGTGTGGAGTTCAGTTGGAGGACAAAATGCGATTGTGATTTGCACATCAATAATGCTTTTTGACTTCTCAAGCCGCTATTCTGTATAAAACTGCTTCTGGCTGAACTTGCAGCAAAAAGTCTTCAATCAGCGCTTTCTGTGAGCCAGCCTTACATCTGGCTTTTGCTGTCTTATAGTGTGCGGTGGGTTACACGACTACTGAGTTAAAAGACACCCATTTTATGGCCTCTCAAGTCAGCTTCGGGGAACAGGCGTCAGGTCGAAACGTCGCCTGCGGCCTGACGCCCCAAAATGATTTGCACTGCGTCAACGTAAAGAAGGACATTCGACCGCGCCAAATAGGTATATCTGTCAACGTCCCTACCTGTGTCTTAAGCAGACTGATAAACTTGCCGGCTATGTCTTGAATACGAAGCAAGACTGGCTCCACTAGTTGTGCAATGAGCGCTGCGCTACCATACCCCGCAAACACACTGGGATGATAAAAACGATTCGTATGCAAACTGTAGGCGTCAACGCCACGAATGCAAGCTATCCAAAGGGTAGTCTAGAGCTTATATAAGCTCTAGAAGAGAATACAGCCCTCCAACTTCACCTTCACCAGACACTTGCTATAACCCTAGTAAATTCACCGGCAACAATTCACATCCCATGAACGTGGTCACTTCTTGCTCATCGAGTGTACTGAATTAGATCCACCGCTCTATGGCTTGCTTTGATAATATTTCCCCCTTGAAGATGTTATATCGATTCCCTACGAGAGTATCAAAATACTTGTTTGATACGGGCCTGCGTCATTTCGAAGCAAGTCCGTGGAGCTGCCCAATCCGATTGGCGGTATATAATACGATCGCTGATCTAAGCAGAAGTTGACTCAGCTTCATATGGTGTTTGAAAAATTCATTCTTTTGTAACAGAACGCTTCTCGTGTGATTGGTTCGTAAATCGTAGTCGTGTGTTGCTGGCGAATTAGACAGCACCAGCCATTCACCTAGCATCTTAGTCGGTGTATTTACGGTAGCGATAGGATGTCACCTACCGATGATAGACTCCGTCAGCTATATCAAGGGGCGCTGAATAAGGTACATTCGACCATGCTGTTATTCAGCAGGTCCTTTGTAAAAAAGGTGTTTGCGACGGGATGGTCGCTGCATTAAGAATAGTATAAACACGTACACATTCCCGCTTGCCGTCTGCTTGTTCTCAGTGGAAGGTCGGTGCTAAGTAGCATGACTTACTCTCCCTCACCGAATGCTCTCTGGGCATCGTCTTATAAGAAAGTGTCCGTGATATCCAACATTTTTTTTCTTTGATAAGGGCCACGGTCGTGTGACGCAATATTCGGTGTTAGCATTCAGATCAATTTCATGTCACGCACTCCCCGATCCGGGTCACAACTTGTGGCGGGGTCTTGTCGCCGCGGCATGACAAGAATTCAATGGAATCCGAACGATATTTGGGAATAGTAGTTTTATTCCTGAACTTGGCGCGCAGCGAGTGTTCTCAATAACGGACTCTTACACGAAGGATGTAAGACCGGCTTATTTTATAGAAATAACAGTGATTTTACCGTCTTGTACTTCCTTGCATTCATCTTCGAGAATTACGTGCGTTTGATTACACTCTTTACCTATAAATTTGACGTGTACTAGTACCCTGTAAACAATCCCTGTTTCTCCACGAGTGAATGCGCCACCGCTTTGGCCAACTTAGTGGTAGGCGCGTCCAGTTGTTCCAAGGTTAGATACTCAGACGGCTCGTTTTCATCCTCACGGATGACACAGACTTTCTTCAATTTGGTTATAGTGTTTCTGTCGAGTGCAACGGGAATGCAGTGAATCATCGGAGTAAAGAGATACAATACACAGAAGTCAAACTCGCATGATCCAACCAAGAGCTCTAAAATAAGTTGATACTTTTTTATGTGAGGCTTTCAGCCCATGTGTACCTCGAACCACTCGGGTCCTACTATAATAATTTGGTCCCTCATGATTTTCTAAAATTCAAGAGGTATATTGTGAGCTCTATAGATGTCGAAATTTCGTTTTGCACAATTGCACAAAAGTGGATTACATAAATGTGGGAAGCACCGAGAATGTTAGACATCGATAAACAAAAAAGTTTGTTCAACAGCTTCACCTGACGCTAACCACTTAAATCTGTAAAAACAATCAATTCTACAATTGTCATCACTGAACCTGAAAAACAAATATATTTGAAATCATGATTTCCCGCTCGGTACTTTTGCTACACTCTCAGTTGAGCTAATCCGAGTCCATATTACGAATTCAAAAAAGATTCGTTGTCTGGCGTTGATTAGTCTAAGAACGTAGAAGACGCGAAATACCTTGAGGAACAATCAAATAACTCTAACGGAATAATAAGCATATTGGTTGTTTCTCTCCATAAAGGTCGATTAAAGATTGCGTCATACACCATAATCATTCTTGTCTTTAAAAATTGAAGCTCACTCATGAATCTTTCTTGCTCTCTATCAAATGTACCATATCATCGAAGTTGTTTGACGCAACGTTATTAAAAATTGATATTGTTGATGTTTTTCTTGCTACAAATGCTACGAAAAGATTGAGGAGATTATTTGTTTTATACGTTCAGATGTATATTTACCTATATGGTCAAGAAGCATTGTACCACACCGTGAAAGATACGCACTGGCATCCCATGGCTTTTTGCTGCCGCTACATGAAGTCTTTTCCAGCACATCATTTGTTGTCATAGTCGACCTTTAGGTCACTTGTGTGGGCATCTTTTGCCTTTGTTTTGTACTCATGAGTCGCGCAATTATTGAAGCTGCCTGCGCCATCAAGTCTTTTGTTCTTTTTGCTCCCTGAAGATAAAATCAACATGCATATTCAGATTTTAATAAAACTCATTCAATAATATTGCTATGTATATGAGACACCCAGCTTGCGCACAACTTAAATCCTCCCGCAAGAACGAGAAGCAAGGTACTGTGATTTGTTGAGAATATTTGTACTTTGGTTCCAGTACACAATAAGGAACTTCTAGATTCTTCTACACTCAATTTGTATGGTACATTGTCGTAAACATGTTTACATATTAGGATGATGGTCAGAATTTTGATGATGCTCAGTGCCTCGTCTGATCTTTCCTGATTTCAAAAATCGTTAGTCTATCCAAAGTCATCGCACCGTTTTAAAAACATTAATGCACTTCTGTGGTGATCTCTGGCCACATGCGGGCTTTTCTTACTAAAGCGAACGTTGTGGAGCCTGATCGTTTACCTTCTAAAGGTCCAAGTCACACGTAATCGCAGACGTTGCTGAGGGCCGAGTCAGCTACACATCAGAATGTCAAGAATCACTTTCCTTCCAAAAAATTTTGGACAGGTTCTCTGATGGGTAATTGAATTCTGTAAAATTTTCGCTAATCCCCTGTAAACTTGCAGAGGACTTTGCTTCAACATCTCCTTGATTTTGAAACGATGAAAAAGTAGGTGGTTGCGAAGGAAGAGATAGAGTGACGTTTACATTCGAGCATGATAAACAACAAGGAACTTTTCGTAAGTCCCCAACTAAGATATACTCAAAGATGCCAATTCCACTCAAATCATGCTCAGGCCTGTTAAACGTCCGCTCTCCAATTTAGTGCAGAGTGTAATGGTCACGATTTTAACTAAGCCTTTGTTTATTGATATGTGTAAGGCATGCAATTAAACTGAAGTTTTTGTGACTGCACATGCTAGCATACATGGCTCAGCGTGATAACAAGACATTGCTTTATAGGGTTAATGGAAGTTAATACAAGTACGTAGCAGCAATCTCTACATCTAATCTTAGCAAAAAGATACAATTTACATGTAAAAGATGCAACACAACAAGAATTAGAGTCATAAGGGTCGAACGAGCCATTAGCCGCAACGTCACCTATTGCTTTAAGTTGGCTATGGCGGGCAAGCGGCTGAAATTTGATATGACTATCGACGGGTTAAACACTTCAATAATCATTTCGATATCGTTGACGAAGATCAAGCGGTTGCTCGCCTTTTATACAATATTAGGTCCAGCCTATGCTACTTTCTCATTCTCAGTATGGTCGAGATGGAGATCCTTCAAGATCACTCGATATGGCGCTGGCATGATATGAATGCCTGACTATGAATTTGAGAGATTTGTAATGATTATCTCGGAGGAAATATTTTCTCTCGATCACAAATTTCTATGCTTCTGTGTACGAGAATTGAAGAGTCTCTATTATGGGTAATTGAAAATTATGTCATCTCAAGCTTTCGTAGTTTCATTGCTAGTAAACTTTAAATCAAACAAATATGAGAGCTCTCTAGAGCAGGCTATGAATTGTACTCGCAATGATAAATTTCGGAAACCGCTTCGTTCTAAATCCAAGCTGGCGGGTAAGGGGGATTTAAAGTTGGCGGATTATGGCTGGTAAGTCATCGCGCTAATAGTGAATACACTCGGATCGCTTCATACACCGTTGCAATAGGCATTATATATAGCGATCAGAGGCAGAGGTGCAGCTTGGTCATAAATACAATCAATCTAAATCAACAAATCGAAAATTCAAAATGAAATTGCTGACAATTCTAGAAGTTCACCATCACTTCGATTAGCCTCACAAGGTCCTGTATGTAAATGCGTCGACTGTGTCCTGCTAAGTCGAATTGTATGATGCGCAACTTTGTTGCATAACTACTTCTACCACCTCAACGAGAGACTTCAATGGCTTGGGACAAGGGGTCGATAACTGGATAGTTGACGTGCCATGTTGTAAACACGCCGGTCGCATGTCTGATGCTTAAATGCAGCCTTAATCTCAATGTATTAAACTTGACCACTAAGAAAATAGCGGTCAATTGGTAATCCATTGCACATACATCCAAATTCCAGTCTGATAGTAAGACGAATGCTGTTTATCGAGCTTGATACCTTTACTCGTTTAGGTACTACGTCATACGTTTACATAAAATCGATAACGAGCTATAACATTTACACAACAGGAAAACGTATCTCATCGCTTGCGTCAGTAAATTTTACAAGCAGCGGTATGCAGCTCTTTAAACTCAAAGTTGCGGCTTATATTCCAAAAATCGAGATAGCTTGGCTACAAGAGCTATAGAACCGACCAGCTTATCGAAAGGTGCAAATAGAGACCTGGCAATTGACAAACACTACGAGTCAACATTATTAAGATCATACAGCATCTAATCGATCGTGCTTAGGAGTCTGGAATGACATCTGATCTAGGACAATAAAAGAATATCATTGCATTTGTCACGGTAGCCATTGTGATGACGATGATCGTAAACAAATCGTTCAACGCTTTTCAGTCCCTTGTGCACGATATTCGTAGAAAATAAACAAGGTTTTCCTCCTACATTACGTCGAATCTTTGAAGATGCACCATCTGTCTTGTTTAACCTAACAGAAGCAACAAGCGTATCATGATAGAAAGCAGCAATGAAATGCTACGAGTTTTATGCTTGAATCAATGCAGATGATGGTATTCAAAACATCATTTAATTGCCGTTAATTTGGTGGCTCAGGCTGCAATAAAACCCCGCAAACAATGTGAGCCTTGTAGAGTCATACAAAGTCACTTTTGATTGCTATTTAAAGTCCGTGATGTCTTGGACTTACTTTAAATTGGTGTATGCACTTACGCTAAGTCAGTGCTAGCTTAAAAATCGTCAGAAATCATTGTTTGAATGGAACTGTGTAGTCAGCCGGCTGCTAGCTGTGCGAGATCGTCAGATGTGACCATCAAAGAACATGATTATCAATTGGTGATTGCGCTGAAGTTGTAACGGGGTTGGTGTGACCTTACGTAGATTGTGGATTACACAAGTTGGTGTAGTCACACGACTGCGTGGCTTCGTGGCAGGACTGCTAGTAGTAATGCATATTAATTAGGCATTAATTAGTATTACTATATTATTTAGAAAAAGCTAAGGCTTTAGATAATGGCGGCTCTACGTACAAGTTGAGACTTATATAGGTATGAAGATAAAAACGCAACTAAAACAATAAAATTTCAATATTAGGCGGAAGAGCGTGGTAGCGGATTGCGATCCGCTTCAGTCGTACTGGTTCTTATAAAGAACGTAAGGTCGGTGACCTTAGCTAAGCTCCCTCTAAGCAAAGAGCTGCGGCAGCACCGCTGCAGAAGTGGCAGATGCATTATACTTAATAAAATTATTACCTTGCACAATTTTCCACTTGCTGTTTGCCTTGCTGCAGCGGAAAGTCGACGCGTTGAAGAGGCATATTCATGAGCGCCTAAATTAGGAGGTAGTATTTATGGCGCCATTCATCTAGCGCCAATCTGCATTCGATTTCTTGCTCATCCGTTAAGAATCGAGACGTAGCAGAAAAGACCCAGAGGTTTGAAGCTGTTACCTCGCAATGGAATCAGATTTTTCTCAAGAACGGTCATAAAGGGCCCGAACGGGAGCAACTTGAAGCACGAATTTTCACGTTCATCCTGAATTAGCGATTGCTGTGGCGTTAAATGAAGAGTTCATCTTCCATGCCGTGAGGGGTGGATAATTACTGAAAGTGACATCTTTAGAGCACACCAGACACGTTGTCCACTACCATGCCAATAAAGAAAGATCATTTAGATGTTAGGTAGATTCGCGGTACTTGCTTATTCTCTATATTTAGGAGTACGAAACATCTGCAATTTTGTCCCCGCTGCACTCTTGGTTAAAAGGTACGTAGGGACGGGCTCCCAATGCTAGCGCGGACGAGGAAACCCTCGCGGGGAAGCGTCGAGTCCTAGTCGTCGCAGGTTGGCTCACAAATACAGTCTCTACATAAGCGACCCTATTTACGAGCGCTTTCAACGCAAAAGCAAAACGGCATTACTTTCTGTGCAAGAGATGGAAGCGTTCCAGATTAATCGCGATGAAACTACTAGGTGCCTGAGGCAGAATCCGGGATGCAGAAGCGCCAGTGCTCGGATTATATTTTTGGCGAGGCCAACAAGCAGCTGCGCGCTGATGAAGTGTGGAAGCGACTGGTTGTCACAGTCTCTCGGACCAAACTCGGTTGATTAGAAGGGCGACTGTGAGACTAGATTAGAAGGGAAGGGCCTCGAAGCTGAGAAACATCATTTTCTGTTTCGATGTGACATTGTTTGAGTCAGCACTACCTTGTGACTATCCCGCCATGCAGACTGAAGGTGCACAAATTAGAAGCAAGAAAAGTTGTTCACTCGTGAACGGGGGTGATTTAGATTGCTCAAAGGGCTGTAAGGTCTCCGCTCACTAGACGCTTTTATACTGCTGTAGGACTGTCATCAGGGTTGTGGTGAGAAAATATATAAGTGTGTAGCGTCAGCATGGCACATTTGGTACCAAAGAAGAAGCTGATCTCATCATTTTCATGGATTAGTCTTTTATCGAGAACACTCCTAGCACTTAATGTAAGAAGTGGGAGACTTATCCTCAAAAATCTTCGGTCCTTTTTTGACGGAAGATCACAACGTTGTGAGGGGAAATTCACAACGTTTGCTATCCCTAGGTATAAGGATGTATTATGATTCTGGCTAATGTTTTGGAACCAGATGTTGCGTCACACAGCATAGTCCGTACCAATGGTAATGTGATACGTGGTTGACACATACTTCATGCAATATACGAAGCAAGTTTGGAGAGGAAAATTAAATTCTCACAATAGACACTGCCTTTCTTGTGCCATAAATGCTACGGCAAGTGGCGATTTGTGCGTGACTTTGTAAGCAGAATTCAGCCACTCTTCCGACCCAAATGCCGATTCCTCAGCAAGATGTGCTAAAATGGCTATGGGCGCTCGCAATCTACGTTGTGTTCTTTACCTGCTGCTAAATAATGTCAATTGCTGACAAGAGAAAATATATATCTATATCACTGCGGATGGTATTTCCAGTGCTATGGTCCGGAGTGGTCAGTTTTTTCCCATTGGACTGTCATATCCTTGCAACGTTCGATCACCTGGTGATACACCACGTCGTAGCCATACACGGCCTATTTCGACGATACGATCGTACAGAGCACGGGTACTTGGCTGTGAGGAGTTACACTATATACTTTTGAGTAGTGTTCGAGTGCACTGCCATAGATGTGATGGGAAACGACACCCCTTTTTAGGAGTCGTGTAAGCCATGTCAAGCACGTGCTGTAGGGTTTTATTCATTACACTCTAACCCCTCTCTACCCGGCCCGGGGATTGAACCCTGGACCTCCCGGTTCTGAAGTGAGCGGCGTACCACTGCACCACAGGATCGGTAGTGCACTGCCATAGACAAGTTTATCTTTGACGTTGTCAAAAATTTCTTATCAGGACAATTTATTGAGAAGCAGGGCCTTAGGCGGGTCCCTCAGGGATTAAACATTGCCTCTGTTTAAAAAGGACTAAGTGATCTTGGTAATTACTTGCGCTAGTATATTGTTAACTATGGCAAAAAGGCACATCTCCTCACCAATTTTAAAAAGAACTCAAATGATGCTGGGGTGCGGCAGGCGAGGCGGTCGATATGGCCGTGACAGAAAGTACTCTACATGCTATGATCTGAGTCTATTGAATCAAGATCGACCATTTCATATCGTTCGTGATGCCTCAGCCTTTGGAACTGGATGTGCTTTGCTCCAAGCGGATGACGATGGGCTCAACTTCGATTTCTCGTTTTTATCTTGCCTGCTGCATGCCTCTAAGTTGAGCTACTTTATTCTTGACAATGAACAACTTACAACGATTAATAACCTCGACAAATTTAATATACATCTTCTAGACGCGAAGACGTGGAAATCTTTACAGATCATGCACTATTGGAAATTGCGACGTCATCACCATATAATTTATAGAGAATGACAAGAAAAATGGTATTTCTTTCATGCCGACTTACTTATTTGCGGTAAGGTACGGCCGGGTGCATTAGCAGACGAGCAATCACGTCGTCCCGACTATGAAGTAATCTTGATGGTAATTTTGCAAATCAAAAGGCGATACGTACAGTGTACGAGCTAGACGCAACGTGTGTTACTTCATGAAGCAAGGAGTATTTGCTTCAGATGCCGCTTTATTGAAGCGCGCGGTCGCAGGTCTAAATTGCTATGCCTTATCCGATGATTGCTCTTTCAAAGAGCGTATGATGGTTCCTCATGACTACGACCTCAAGTACCTACGACCTCATGTACCAAATACTATACGAGACGTGTAATATCTTTCTGGGTGTCCATTACGAAAGAAGAATGATATTTGGCTCATTAAGCGCTGTATACTAGTGACTCAATATGTATGACTGTGATAATACTTATGCCAGATCGTGCGATAGGGTCACTAGAATAAATCCTCGTTGCATGCGGTGGCGCATTTGACCAGCTGGTCGGTTCAGACAGAGTGCTGGAAGTCCACATGTATGGACTATAATTTTGATCTTCAAGGCAGTATACTGGTAATGAGGTCTTCGTGGACTATTTAGATAAGATGTCGCTGCTGTCAGATATAGTGAAGCCGAAGTGAATAGTGCCAAGACGTTCTTCGACAATCCAACATACCATGTCCGTTAGCCGATGTGAAATATAAACCTTTGTGCTTGAGAGAAAAGTTTTGACCATACTTGTTCTTGATGATCGGCACCGAATTGAATATGTCGATCTGCGACCGCCCACAAAAGCTGGTCGATCGGAGCGCGTAAAATGCGCTGTGGAAGATATCTTGTGAGGAACTTGCGCAGAGAACAATGGTGATGGAGACAGCACTCCCACATGTGGTCTACGTTCATAACGTGGGGCATACCTTGACAGACTTTCTTCAATCACAGAAATCGTTTTGTAAAGTCCTGGGTGTATTTGACAACATGACGAAGCTGTTCCGATCTTGTGGGGAAGGGTTGTCAATCAATTTGACTGTTTCAATATGATCAGCTTAAATTGTAGTAAAAGCACTTGATCTACCACAATGAGATTAAGCATCATGGACAGGGTGCGCGACGCCTTAACTACGAGCCAAGATAAAAAAGCAAAAAGCAAATACCAAAGGCAAGCGTAACGCACACGAACATGTTCTAGGACCGAGGCTGTATCAAATACAGATCACCTACCTACCCATGTACTACCTGCCGCCTATAAGACTATGTTGCGGACGTGCTTCATCAAACAGTTCAAGTAGCTTAAAAATATCGAGTTATACGTTTGGCATCCCAGCAAGAAACCAAAACATTCTGTCAAAAGTAGACATTCTTAAGCCGTACAACAATTTTGCTGACAAAGCAAACAGATCTAAGAGCTTTGTTGCAGATGCAGCACCGTCTAACCTTTCTTTGTAGCTATGCTTCCCTGTACACAAAAGCAGCAGCGCGGTTTCAAGCCGCTACAGTCAAGCAGAACGGCAGGGAAGCTCAGGGAGCAAATTCGAGATCTTGATCATTCCGGCCTCGACAACACGTCGAGCCTCTCGTAAAGAGTTGACATGCCGCCCCAACTATAAGAGCACAAGAGCAGGCCGCGAGAAGATCGGAGGTCTTCACCGGTACTAATTGATGAGCTAGATATATCGCACTGCTATGTGATCATCTGGTAGACCAGTGAGGACGTAACGACAGTTATAGTGGTGCAGTGGGAGCAATACCCTCTTCCGGGACTCTGATATTACACCTCGACAAAATTACCCTGGTGATGCGGCCGTTGATAACCTCACCCTAAGCGCTTGTTCTCTCGGAGAAAAGGCAGGGTAGTGCTCTCTTAACCAAGTGAAAGTTAAGGTGTATAGGACCCTTGGTCGGTAGTTGCTACAGCTGTCTCATGGCGACAAGCAGGGCTATAAACACCAGGAACATGAGGTATTAGGGTGTTACATTGGCGTGTGCGTCGTATTTTGCACTTTGCATAGACGAAAGTGGGACAACGCTTTAGTCGGACATCAGCGTTGCCTAAATTGGCTTGTAAAGCCGTAAAACGCGTGAGAGAGTGTGTTTCTTACACTCAGTGTTCAAATTGAGTTTGATTCTCAGGCTTGCTTCCGCTAGCTTGGAATCAAGGTACAATGTTCGTCCTGCCACGTAATACTAGGGTATCATCATGTCCAAATTAAGGAATTGTCAACTTTACCAACCTTCGCTTGAAGGTCAAGCATAACCTCTGACACTTTCACCTGTGGTTCCGTTGTAACACACTTAGATACGTATTATACACGGCATTTAGCGTATCGCATGTAGTTGCATGACGTCCTAAAATCGATAAGAGCTTCCGGGTCTTGAAAAAAGCTCAGAATGTTGACAATAGCAACCAAAACTCCTGGGCTATGGGCCCACCTCTCTTTAATTGAGACGTTCCCTCCGAAGTTAGGTACCATTGACTCACGAGGTAAGTACTTCACCCCCCGCGGTATGGAAGTTGTACCGTCGCATTCGATGCAACATCTCAACGCCTATTAAAAAAAGTTAAGGGATGTGGAGCAAGCTGCACTGTCTGGAAAACCTTCACAAAATGGTAATCGTGACCTTTTGGAGAAGGGGCAGGCGCCATTGCGGCGATGAAAGTCTTTTTCGTGCACTAAGTCCGCCAGGTTTTTTAACCCTGAACAGGTGGACAAGGACTTCGAGCGCATCCAATTGCTTGTCAAGGCGGTGCGAACATCAACGACATTTGCCGCCTCACGTTTAAAAGCCTCTTTTTCCGAAGTATTGCACATTATTAACCAAACTCGCGCGCAACCTCCTAACAAAGAGAGCACAAACGCGTCACCCTGTCGCTCTGCTTAGAACTTGGCAATTCACGGTTATCTCAGCTTTCTTCATCAGAGTAAAATGTTCTTAGGCCTTGGCCTTCAAAGATCAGGATGTCTTGGTCAGCAAGAACCATCTGTTTCACATCCGAAGCCTGGTTGATGCACTCCTGGACGTGCCACTGGCGCATCTCAAAGCAGATGAGCCCATTCAGCCAAGCAATAACCATCCCGGCCCATTGGCTCCCCACTTGCCTGATCCTGTGGGTGTATTGATAGTCGTAAGTTTGTCACTTTGGACTTCTTAAACCGACGATAGAATTTCGAGCGTATCTTATTCAATCCTTGCTGAAGGTGCAGTCCCTCCACAACTCGGTCGTGGGATTGATTCTCAGTGATTTCAAGTGCGCGGAGATGCCATGCACATTGCACAAGCACAGCTTTGACTCAATCCGTCCGCGTTCACAATTGCAAAGAGATTGGATTGTGTGCTCGTACCAGTTGCGAAAACGAGAGCCTTTACCGCATATTGGTCTCGAGTAGGCTCTGCTTTTTCCAGAATGCATAAATAAATTTTGATTCTTTTATAAATATATACGATGTAGTGTCTTTTCTTACAACTTTCTCTTTATCTACTGACGAACTGGCAACCCACGTGTTCCATTATTTCCTTAAATCTTCATATTTCTGTACTTATGAATATTCAAATATCTAAGTGTAAACTGAATTTTGTACAATTGAACAGTATTGTATTTGTTACAATTGTGCCATACCGAGCCCATGCTCTTCTACATTCTTGGCGGTGGTGGAAGAAGTGAGTACGACCTAATCGAATTAGTGACTATTATCGAACGACAGCTCAATATTTCCACCATCGCAGACATTGTCGGCTGAAACGTAATCAACCAGAAAGTACGCCTCGTGGAGCTCTGACATACTTTCACTTTTCCTGTTCTATTCGGCTTGGATATGTGTGGTAGCCTGGGACGCCAAGCTGCCGCATAAACGAACACGTGCAGGTCCTCTTGTTGGGGGAAATCAAACGTTAGGTAATCAACAATTTCTTGGTTTGACTTCACGGTAATGTACCTATTTTGGTCTTGAGTTTGTAGCTGCGAGGCGTAGGAAGTAATTCTTCTGTATTGGTTTTACTTACAACCAGCGGAGGACCGTGAGACTTTAGTCGTCATAACTTTTTCGTAAGTAAGCCGCCGGAAAAGCTTCAGCATTTTCAGTCTTAAAGATTACCAGGATTTGTCATTTTGCTGTCATAAGTTTATAGACATTATTTTGCAAATGCGTTCTTGTTTGACAACATGCGTAGCGGAAACAGATAATTATTCGCAGAAAACTTCTGTTGAGGTTCAGATTGCCAAATAGTGTCTATGTCGATCACGCTCGTTACTACTAAGGTTCGTTAATTTCGCGGAGCTTGAGGGGTACATTTGCTATACTTTAACCGTTAGGTCGACGGTCAGAGGTCTTCACGCTTGATTGGCAGCAACAAAGCTTCGCTTATGTTAATCTTGGTTTCTTAACCACACAGCGTCTAAGATTGTAAGTCAAGCTCGCTTCGAAATGATAAAGCAGTGTCGTTTAGAAGAAGTAGGTACTTATGTTATCTGTTAAACTTAAATTTGATATTTTGATTGAGTGCACTGTAGTGATGATGGGATGCAGTTCATAGCTTGAAGTGAAGGGCAGACTACGAGGATTATGCGAACACATTTGAGAGTGTAAAGGATGCAGTGCATTTCATCTCCCTTTTTTATCTTGTCTATAGAACCCACTGCCATACGAGCTGATCCTGAAGCCAAACCTTTAACATAGCTTCCCCGTCACGTTCATACAAATGTAAAGCACATTTTCACACTGTCAGAGAAATTTGATGGCCACCGAAAAGCAGGCAAACCACAGCAGCCATTATAATGATAAATACTTAAATATAAGTTTTGTATGAGAATACCAAGAACTGTTTGGCCGTCAATAAATGAATGCCGTTCATTAGATACTTGAACTGTACATCGATCAGATGAAGTATGCGTTGTGTACTACCTTGTGCTCCTCATTAGTCGTTGTCGTCCTCAGCGTGTAACTTTTGATGGCACATGATTTTCTTTCTCCCTGAAAATTATGTACACTGAATACTTGGTAAGTCGGTCCACATGCCCGCTTTATGCATGTACAGTCCAAAACTTTGCTGCCTTGCAATAACCGACTGCATTTCCAGAACTTTGATTTAAATGCACTCGTACAATAATCATGTTCCTTTCACGGTTTGCTTTCTGCACTAGAACTAAATGCAGTTTTTCTCGCAAAGAAGCACCCAAGCTAGAAAGTAAAAATTTGTATAGACGATACTTTGTAGAGGAGCACCAGCATGCAAGATGCAGTTTGCTAAAGTTTTGAAGGATTCTCATCTTGTGAGCTGCACACGCTCTTAAGTATTATACTTAAGAGTCAGCCAGCACAACCGGAGGATATTAATCAATACTCTAATTTAGAATAGAAACCGAATCTGAGAAGGCCGTTCCATGCATACCGCACAATTTTTAGGCCCTACATCCGGACATTCGAAGAAAGTTCACATTGCGCAATATACTGTAGACGTTGGACTCGGCGATCGGAAATCCAGAACTGGACATGATTTGGTGAGTAAATTTTTATTCATTCTCAACTTTCCACGAAGCTTCGCAGCGGTTACGAACTAAATAGCAAAGATATGTGCATGGAAGATGTTCTCTGCTTTCTATGTGGTGCCTGCTGTGCCTCGTGCTGTATCAACGCCAATAACCAAGCCAGTCTGAATCCGCCCCGCCGTCTCACCAAAAAAGCTAAATCTAATGTGGTTTACGTCGCGCCTGTTGCTGTTTCACGTGGACCACCTCGAGACTTTATTCGTCCATCAGGCCGTCGATCTACTTATGCCCGCCATCCACGATGCGGAAACACACTTTAGATGTTCTTAAAATGTAATTTATTTTTTATTGATTGTCTTTAACGATTTGACAGCTCAATTCGTAAAAACCAGTAAATTATGCAGGAAACTTTCTTGCCAACCACTCATATGTCGCGTTTTGAACATATGATGCTTTATTTAACATTAAACTTTATTAGACTATGCTTGAGCAAAACCCGTAATATTTAACATTCTTCTCAAAGCCTACATTCAAATTCTGGACTTATTTCTTACAAAGAAAGTGGGTCAATAAATTCACCAAGTGCGGTGGCATGTACGCACCTCATTTCAAAACGCATGACTATATACGTAATGACCACCGCCTTATCGTGTGCAGAGTTCACGTTGTCATGGGCTAGAAATCGTCGCACATTTCAATTTTCTGCTAGAATAATAGTATACACCTTGATTCGAGCTAATACGCTCATTTATAATTACAAAGTCGGCGATGACATACAAGGTAGCGATCTTTGGAAATTGCTCAGTTGATTATGTACACTCACACACAATCGATCAATCTATGGACGAGCCGTAGCAAAAGAATCATGATATTGAAGTCGATCGTAGTAAGTGTCATTGGATAACTCGGTGCGAAGTTTTGAAGCTCAATTCTATTCAGATAGTTAAGTCGACTGAATTGTTGTGCTCACTGTAGAACTCGACTTAACGAGGCATAAAACGTTTTCTTGCTTTTTGCTGGTGACAGATATTGCTGATATTAGCCATTTAACATTTTAGCGATGATATACCGATAGAATACCGGTTCGGATCTCTCCCAAAAATAGATGTCAAGGTGATGACACTTTGCAATTGTGCCAGTAGCTAGTATAATATCGAATAAGAGTCGACGACAGGATATTTAAAAGGAGCAGACATTGGGCGTAGAGGTAGCAATTAGTTTATGCGAACAATGGATTTATCAAGTCACTTTTGTATTTTGGCATACAGTGCTTGTGTCGTGCTCAAGTGAATACCCTAGCTTGAGGACTGCGGCACCTCGTTGGTTCAGTCGACGCTCAAGCGGAAGTTGTGTAAGCTCACCGCGATTATTAGTTTTATCGTGGAGGATTTGTAGCTGACTTCATCCCAAAATACTGACAATGCATGATCGTGTCGGGAGTCGCAATTTTAAAAAAAAGCTAAGTCCGACATACTTTTTATTTTTTGTGTATTTTCACGACAATTATAAGCGAAGTTGATGACGCATCCAGCATATCAACAAGATTAGAACGCTGGCAGAGTCACATGATGCTGTTGACGCTCCGTTCAGCGAGGACGCCTTGGTTATCACAGTTTGCGAGTCCGACTTTTGGCACTGAGGATGAGAGGTACGATTGGGGGCCCTTGACATCTCGGCTACATTACGAGAACATGATGCGCAAGAAATAAGATGGTGATGTCGATGAGCCGTACACTGCTAAAGTAAATTTTTCATATCAAAAGGAAGATCGCAAGGGATGGCAAACGCCGGTAAAAGCTACAAGTGACATGTACTGTGGAGAGTAAAAGCACTGTCTGGATTGGTATCCACGAAAATGCGACGACATAGATGTCACAGCGCGATAATATCGCGCATCGTGCGCATGAGGGTTATATAAGGACTTAAAAAGCCGATACGAGCGCTCTCATAAAAGAGGGTTTCGAACGGCTTTAAGGTCGTCGAATGCATGGACTGCGTCTTTGTCATCGGTGTGTTCAGCCGCGAGTGAGGTTATCAATAAGCTCACTTTGAATGCGAATACGTTTGTAAGATCAAGCGCTTAAGGTTGTAACGAGTGGTAAGCCCAAGTGGTTTTAGATATTGAAACGGGATAAAACGGATTACCACTGTTTGTTGTGTGCTTACAAACGACGCCTTAGTATGCTCGTAGATTAAACACATAAATCACTTTGATGAATTGGTGAGGTGGTGCTGATGGGAACATTCAGGCTTTGTCTTAAAGAGGTTGGTGGGACGACGTGGCTGCTCAGCCTCACGTCATATGATGCCTACGATTTTATGCCCGAATATAAATCTTTAGTTTTCTACATAATCGACTTGACCCCAAAACAGATACCTTTTGCAACAGACGAGAACAAACTCAAAATAGGATAAGAACTGTAATGTTGTTAATTTCGTACTACACTTTGATACGATTATATTAAATGCGTCTCTGTACATTGGTAAGCAAATTACGCTGCACTTTGTGGTCGGACAATAGAGATTTTTTTGCGATAAGATAAAGTAATGCATTCATATTATAACTAGTAGTTGTTCATGTAGCATAGTATATGTGCTTTTGGAATAGCAGAGCTAATTTGAGACCCTATGCTTCTGTTTCTACGGCCGTCAAGCATAGAGTTCGCAAGCATGGCGCGCTGTTCTCCGGATCATACCTGACTGAATCATGTTAACACAACCCTCTTTCGTTCAGAGAATGTGATTTGATCAAAGGCCTGGACGCTCAACATCAGCAGCCCCACTGTGGGTAACATCTGTTTGTCCACCAGTGCACTGTTGAAGCGCTCATGGACGTGCCTCAGCGGCGCATTTTCATAATTGCTTGGCTCTTTCGCCTGCCAGTTCTCTGATTTCGGCGGGACCAACGATATATACAGCGAAAGTATTTGACCCAGGGACAGGTAATCGATCGTTTAATTGACTCTTAGTGTCTGAATCCATAAATCCACGTGATCAAGTGCACAACAATTGCTTTTGTGCTCTTCTACCAGAAGCGGACTCCATCAAAATTTGGTGTAACTCTTGCTCTGCTATATAAAGAGTTTACATATTTAGGACTTAATTTTAATACCAAATACATGGTTACTATTCCAAAATAAAAATGCCTTATTCTTTGACGTGCGGCTTGCAGCCCACGCGTACCATGGTTTGTAAATTGTAAGGAATAAGTATACAAGGTTACAGTTCTTGACCCGTAACATCCGTGTTTACTAACGCAGAGAAAATGGGCGTGTACGCTCTGTATAAGAGCCAAACGCGAGACGTGTATCGTAACTAAGTGTCTGAACAGATTACTAGATTTGCTTTTCTATTTTGAGAGGGAGATATATCGAGGATAGTTCTCAATATAATTGATTTACAGCAAGCCTTCGCTTAAATCCGCGGTATTATTTTCCGTGTCGCGGATATGTCTGCACTGTAAATTAACAAAAATTTGGATCAACATCCGAAAACGTATTGTGCCCTTGGCGGAGGCATTGGAGAACTTTTTTTACAAAAGCAGATATGATTCCTGAATTAGTGCAAAGAAAGCACACAATTAGGACAGCGTGTCGGATGATATAATCTTAATGATGAAAACCTGCATTATTGCACATCGTTCGATCAGTTCGAAATCTCATCTCTTAGAACAGCATTGTGAGCTATTTGGTTCGGATCAAACCAAATTGGAAGTGTATAAACAAGCGGCTATCGAAAAAATTAAAAATGAATTCAAGAGCGAGGAGGACGAAGTCGAATCAGGAACTGTTCTTTAGAAGGATCAATCGATGTTGCTATCGGTAAAGATTATCATACAGCAAGCATTTCCAATGATTTGCTAAAAGTTGATAAAAGACTTTACGGATTTACTCAAACTTAATAATGATTTGACAATTTAATTAGCCGTGTCCAGCAAATGGGCTGGTCGTTCGAATGCCACTACCGCTATGCCTCTTTCAATTTGGCAGCATCTGATTCTTAATAGATTGAGAGATCATCTGCCAGGT